CAGTATGCTCCTATTCTTTTTATGCTCAGCTACTAAGATTTCCCTTCAGTGGTAAAATTCCAAATGAATATTCAATACTACAACGGGCACAGTAAAGACGTTTACTGTAAATCTTTCTACGACAGACCAATGGACCACGAGTGCCCCTGTCGGTCAACCAATCACATACCGCGGTACCGTGTGTCATCTTGCGTCACAATGCGCGACGCCATAGCCAATTACATCCAGTACATGTCTGTACCGTGCACTTTGAATGGCTGCATCTGTACTTAGCTATGATTATACAGCATGCGCTAATACTTGAGTAGACACAAGAGCTGCTATTTAATTCTATACCATTGTATAGGAATGCGTGCTACGAACCTAAGTGACTGATTGTGATTTAAAAATAGGGAGGTAGGAGAATGTGTGTGATTTTGGAACACTGCCAATGTTGTAAGCACAGTATTCTAGGTTAGTTTTTATTCTAGGTTAGTTTGAGAAAAATACACTGAGCATCTCTGTTTTGCTCCCATGCGCATGAAATAAAAACTTATTTTAACTTCTGAGATGGACTCCTGACTGCCTTTTAAGGGGAAACGGGAAAAAAGTTATCCAACAGCGCCACATTCGCCAACAGAGCAATTGATCAAAAATGAATACCTCGCAAAAATCAAGTATTATGTCATGGTTGAGAGGAATAGACACCAAGAGTAATGATGCCAGTTCCCATAGATCATGCACACCAGTTGAGAACAAGGAGGATTATTCATCACCCACCGACACTAGCTCTGATGCTGTACCTGACACAGACAGCACTACTAGTGTTAGCAAGTGTCGGAAAACAGTTACAAGGCTACAAAGATCACAATTATCTAAGTTTGGGAATTACTTACACAAGGACGGAGGAAGAGCCAAGACCACAGTGTATCCTGTGCTGTAAGATTCTCAGCAATAAGAGCATGAAGCCAGCACATCTGATGCGGCACTTTACCATGAAACGTGCTCTTGAAGGATAAGCCTGTTTATGTTTTTCAAAGGAAACTTCTGAAGCAGTGCAAGTCCACCATAAGGAACAGTGTAACTCCAGTTTCCAAAGCCCGAGAAGCATCTTCCCATGCAAGCTTGCGGATTTCTAAAGCAGATAAGCCCCACACTGTTGGTGAAGAACTTTGTTTACCGTTGGCAAAAGTGCTGATCCAGTGTGGCTGGTAAAATTAGCCTACTTGGCTAATATATTCACAAGTTTGAAATGAGCTGAATATGGGACTGAAGGGGCTCTCTTTAATAATTTTTAACATGTCTGACAAGGTCACTGATATAAAGAAAAAGCTGTATCTTTTTGTTAATAAAATCAATGCAAGTGTTGTCTCTGCTTTCCCAACTTTGGGGAACTATCTGCACACATATGGTGTGGCACTTGATGCTGCTGTTTGTGATGCGATTGCAGTGCACCTGTTGTAATTGAAAGAAAGTTCTCAGATAATTTTGCAGTTTAGGCCACACCAGAGTGGATCAGCAACACATTTTACTGTTAACATCTTAGAAATACCCAAGGATCTGACCTGTGCTGAGCAAGAGAAGTTGCTCAAGTTATCATTTGATACAACTTTGATCTCAGAATTGAAACAATAGTCACTGTAGGATTTCTAGATCCAAAGACAGAGTGAATACTCAGCCTTCTCATTAAAGGCTGTGTGGTTTTTGATGCCTTGTGCTACTACCTACCTTTGTGAGAAAGGCTTCTGTGCTCTCACTGCAATCAAGACAAAGTACCGCAACAAAATGGAAGTTGAGCCAGATGTGCATTTGAAGCTCACTGCCCTCATCCCTGACATTGCGGAGCTTTGCTCAACTAAACAGGCTCACCCCTTTCACTGAAATAGTAGGTTCTCAGTGCTATTTTTATTATATGGGTGTGTGAGTGTGTGTGGGCGCACGTTGTTCATTGAGATTTGAGATGAGAAGATGACTTGTAGGTGGTACTTGGATGTTTTGGTTTGATCAGGGGTGGTACATGATCCAAAAACTTTGAGAACCACTGACTTAAACCATATGAAGAGGTGGTTTAAGTTCCCAACTTTTTTATCCTCTGGAGGACAGCAGCTGTTGCTTTGGATTAGTTGCAATTGAGAACAGGTTTAGTACGGTGCTATGGACTAATTTCAGCAGCCAAGTTCATTGCAATTGGTCTTAAGGTAGTGCACTAGTTGAGCACGGAGCAGCATGCTAACCATAGGTTGAACTCCAGTTAGTACACTGCTTTCAGTTTGATGCAATTGACCTACAGTACTGACTCTCTAGGATAAAGTTTTGACAGCTGCAGACCTCTCTATAGAGTACTAAGCACAGACAGTTAGTTGATTTTTTTGTTTGCTTTCATGCTTATCCTGGACAAGACAACACCTTAATCTTTGAACTCTTTGAACCTTAATGCTTTGATCCAGAATTTTAAAAGGGTAAAGGGACCCAATGGCAAAAGTAAGGCAGACTTAAATTTTGTTTTGTTTTCTTTAGAGAAGCATCACCCCAATGGTACAAAAGAGATTGTTTTTCCGGATAAGGCTGTCAAGCACCTTTACCCTGATGGACGAGAAGAGAGTATCTTTCCTGATGGCACAGTGGTAAAACTTGCAAAGTAAGATCAGTGGGTATTTAATAAACTAGGGCTTCTTCTGCAGGGTGATAATGGCACAAGTGAATCTGTTATTGGCAGTGTGCATATGGTGATAATGAATCCTTGTGTGGGATAAATAATGAATCTAAAAGGCACACATTGCATCTTTTTTGGATACAACACACTCTATTTCATTCCCCTGAAATAACAGCCCATCAACAAAGCAAAAAAGCTAGTGGGAATCAACTGGTAACAGATACAAATTAATTTCAAATGCTATACACCCGTACTTCTTTCTACGAATGTTCTTTTAAGGAAAATTTGATACTTAGAAGCATTTAAATTGGTAACAACATTTTGTTTTGAATAACAAAACTACAACTTTAAAACTACATAGAAGTGACAAAGAAAAATTTCAAAACCTCCTCCAAATGTAGAGAGTAAAGAGGAAAACGTCATATGACTTTTCATATTGAGTGTTCACATCACATTAACTAGATGGGCGAGAGCTAGCACATAGTCTATGGAGTGGCATGACAAATGTGTTATACAGTTTACTATGTCTTGCTTTATATGTGGTTTGCTATTGTGTGTGCTCTTACTTTTCGTTGAAGAAAATGTGTGGTTTACACATTATCATGGATCCTAAAGGTGTTACAAAAAGATTGTGTAATTACACAAAGAGCAAATGAAGTGGTTACTGTACAGTACTCTACTTAGGTATGATTAATGATGTCTACATAAGCAGTGTTTTTTATTACTATAAACACAGTTTGAAAAGTCAAAGCCCCAACTGAGGCTAGCAAAAAAAAGCAAAAAAAAAAATGCGCTGCTTTGCACAGCAATATCCAGCCTGGACTACCCTGCCTAACGGGGTCCTGTCTGGAAGAAAAGGAGCGCAAGGCCAAAAATAAAGAGAACAAACTGTCCCGGTAGGAGATACACAGTGGGACAGTCAAGGAAAGAGAAAGAAAATAAAAAGAAAAGAAAAATGCAAACTAACACTCGCATCACAATCCCCTCTGGGACTGTCGCTGGAAGGTTCTCCTATTGCAGGGGTTTGTTCATCCCTCCAGGGAGGTGCTCAGTGTGTCTTAAAGGCCCCCCACAGCTCCCGCTCATCCTTACTTAGCCAGGAAAGTTGTGGTAATCCAGAGCGCCCCCACATTAAACATGCCCCTGTGTAATACCATAGCCCAAATAGACCATGTTGGAGTTAATAGCTAATAAATTAATCAATCTGAGGACTCCGTCTTGCCGTTTCTTAAACAATTCAGCAATTTAATAGTATTTTATTATTATTGGATTTATTTCAGAAATGTACACATTTAAAAAATGTATCCCATTTCAATTGCTACCTGAGTTGCTAAGAAACAATATAATTTTCAAGTCAGCAGTTTTATGGGTGGTCATACAAGAATAAAAACCATAAAAATAAGAAAACTGCTTGCATAACACTCAGAGCCATATTGCTGCTGCATTTTACGTCTTTATTTTGAATTTCTAGGAATGGAGAAAAGACAATTGAATTCAGCAATGGGCAGAAAGAGATCCACACTTCACAGTATAAACAAAGAGAATATCCTGATGGAACAGTGAAGACTGTTTATTCAAATGGAAGACAAGAAACCAAGTATTCTTCAGGCAGAGTGCGCATAAAAGACAGAGATGGGATTATTATTATGGATAAAAAGTAATGCAGAGGTGTTTTTCGTTTTTTAAATGCTGGTTTAAAACATTAATTAAAATTGAAAATCTTCTAAACATATTGTCAAAAAGTGCAGAAATCTCCTCCAAAAGCATGATCTTTAAATATTTTTCCAGGGATAAGCGTTTTATTGTTTCATTTTTCACTTCTGACAGTAGCTATTAATGCAAAAATGTCCGATTAGAATTTTCTGTTTGCTTTGTATTATTTTATAATAAAACATTCAATTAATGTGGTAAAACTTATCTAAATAGCATTTATAATTTATAGGAACATATATTGCCAATTCCAACATATTTGGACTATTTTTAATTTTTTGAATAAACATGATATAATGTTATGTGTTTGTCATGTGCTTCCTCACAGGCCTGGGACTCTGGGTTCAATTCTTAGGGTGCTAGCTGTGTGGAGTTTGTATGTCCTTAATGTTTTTACTCCAGTTTCCTCCCACAGTCCAAAGACATACTGGTAGGTTAATTGGCTTATAGCCATGATCTGCTTGTGTCTATGTGTACACTGCGCAGGCTGTATCCCAATGCTTCTCTGGAAAGGTTCTGGGCCATACCCTATAATGGTTTAGCAGTTATTGAAAGTGATGCTATATCACTTTGCAACTCACAACTGGCAACCCACTGAAGTTAAGCAGTGTGAGGCTGGTCACTACCTAGATGGGAGACCTCCTGGGAAAATCTGCGGTCCATGTGGGTCCTAATGCCCCAGTATAGTGACAGGGACACTATAGTGTCAACAGGCGCCATACTTCGGATGAGATGTAAAACTGAGGTCCTGACTCTCTGTGGTCATTAAAAATCCCAGGGCGTTTCTCGAAAAGAGTAGGGGTGTAACCCCGGCGTCCTGGCCAAATTTCCCATTGGCCCTTACCAATCATGGCCTCCTAATAATCCCCATCTATGAATTGGCTTCATTACTCTGCTCTCCTCCCCACAGATAGCTGATGTGTGGTGAGCGTTCTGGCACACTATGGCTGCCGTCGCATCATCCAGGTGGTGTAGGGGAGTTCCCATTACCTGTAAAGCGCTTTGAGTGGAGTGTCCAGAAAAGCACTATATAAGTGTAAGCAGTTATTATTATTGGTATTATTATTATTATAATTTAAAAGCTTTAAACCAATCCTCAAACTATGAATTTTATATGTGTACAGGACTTTCTCAAAGAATCCCATAGAAATTTAGAAAAAAAAGGTAACCCGCTTAATCCACAATCCACACCATATAAAGAATAGTCAAATTTCTTCACCGGTTGAAATAAGGGAGAATTCTAGATAGGCTGTACTGTGCAAAACTAGAAAGCTTGAAATACAGTATAGCCAGGACACCAGTGTTAACTGCCCTAGTCAGTATCATATTTACAGCATAACATAGCAGGATTAATCTCTTAAAATATGACAAAATGACTATTGTATTAAATTAGCAGGGATATTTGTGCCATCCCATTGGTACAGTATATCAGTACATAACCAGGCCTTGTATTGTTCTAAGTTATCTTAGAATCATACAAGGCAAGGGCACTTTTTAGTGGGAATGAAGGGTTTTTGAATTGTTAAGGAGGTTTTTAACAGTACATAACCAGGCCTTGTATTGTTCTAAGTTATCTTAGAATCATACAAGGCAAGGGCACTTTTTAGTGGGAATGAAGGGTTTTTGAATTGTTAAGGAGGTTTTTAACAGTAACTCTGCTTGTGTGTTTACATACAGCTTCAAATGTAATGGAACCCTGCAGCTGAAACAAACAAAAAGACAATGAGTATTCTACCCCTTTTTTAAAAAACATTGATGTTAGATTTTTACATTTTTATTTAGTCATTTTATTTGCATTTTACAAAGATGTTGACTATTTTATTTAATTTTTCAAATTATTTGTACATTCAAATAATTTAAATAAAATGTGTTGTATTTTTACTATTTTAATCAAGCCTGTTGGTTTTGAAAATGATTAAAAATAATAAGTTAATTGGATCAACTTTGTTTTTATTTTGACCCATCATTTCCTTTCCAAATGTATAATCTTTTGTAAAATATCACACTGCTATAGAACATATTTTTGACACAGTGGAGGCATGTGGAAAATTTGACAGGTCAAGGGAGGCATGGACCCAAAAAGTTCAGGAACCCCTGCTTTACCAATTTGATTCACCAGTTAGAGTGGGTCCATGTGTGTACTGTGAGGGAACCTGCGCCAAAATGAGCAGTTGAAGAAGCAGAAAGTTGAAAGTGAATGCAGAGTGTGTATATAAAATTGCTAAACAAAGCAAGTCCCTCTCTGAAGGAGTGTATGAAACCGGAGAAACCGTAGATATTCTTTGTCCAGAAAGCAAGAACAAATTTGAGAAAATAAGTTTCTCACGCAGAAAAGTTACCCGTCAGGTTGAGGTAATCGGTGAAGACTTGGCTTGTGAGGTGAACGTCGAGTATTTTTCAGTTTTTATATTTAAAATATGTTTTTCTCTCAGGATATCATTAACCTTGAACTAATAAGCATATGTTGGATCCTAAACTTATATAAGGCATAGGCTATCTGTAACAGCAGTGTAGAAATAGCCCTTGGGATAAAATGTTTGCCCACCCCTGGTCTATACCCTAGACAAGCATGCCAATCTGTAACATAACAAATACAGAAACAATTTAGAGACTAGCTTAATAAATGTGTCTGGAAGGTGGGAGAAAATTCTAAAACCTAGAGAAAACCAATATGAATGCATAGTGAATATGCCAATTCTATGTGGAGTTCCAGTCCAATTTTAACCCAAAACCAAAAAAAGCCATAAGATAGCAGTACCAATCTCTTCACCACCATTTACAGTGCAAAATCACCTTATTCTTTTACATCAAATTTTGTTTGGATGCACTGAACTTTAATTAGTATGTCTTATTTGATTATGATGCATTGATACGTTGTCCAGGTAATATCCTGCCTTGTACCTGTAGTTTGAAGCACAAACAACATAAATTTGTTCCAACGCAAGTGTGCAAACGCTATGCATGTTTTCCTATAGTTGCGTACAGGACAGAAGGACAGTCTGGCCAAATATCAGTGCTTCTTAGCCTAACAAAAGCGAGAGCAAAACATACGCAATAATCCCCCTCGGACCACACCTACACCATCACCATCTACCTCTTTATGATTTCTTATCTATTGCACATCTCCAGTCATTGTTTACATGTCTGTATTGTTTACATTCAAACTGTCTACATGTTTACTTGCACATTGTCTATTGTTTGTTTGTATATTGTCTTGATGCACTGTTTGCACTTTGTTTTGTTTTTTACACTTGTTTTTACAATCGAG